TTAAAAGCAGAGGCCTCAGATCCCCAGCCTGCTGAGCCACGTGGCCTTCCCTGGATGGAGAAATCAAAGATTTCAGGTTTTCTTCCACTCCGGAAAACAAGCAAGTACTTGCAAGCCAAACTCATCTGCTTCTAACTCTTAAAGTGCTACACAGAAAGGACTGGAGAAAGATTGTATAAAGTATTCATCTTAAATTAACCTGGGGAGTCAGTAACAGGATGGAAGGAAACATGCAGGGCCTGTGTATTTATAGGAGCATCAGACAAAGTGAGGAGAAACTGGAAAGCAAGAAGGAGCCTGTTCTGCAGCACCCCATGAAGTGTTTGGGCAATGTATTACTATGAAACACAGCACAGTCCCCAGTGAAAGAGCAGCCTGAGATTTAGGGTAGATTTTTACTTCTCTGCAAATGTACAAAACAGTAATTTTATCAGACAGTCCTCATTCTTAAATTCACTTTTAACACAAAAATACTAACCACAGAAATTAAATCTACTCCCCAGTTGGCTTTAATCATGTGTCACAACGTGTCAGAGAGAGTGTGGCCAAGGCTTTGCAGTGGTGTGCTGGGAAACAGGATTTCCACTCACAGGGAGTTCTTCACATGAAGCATTTTGTTAGATGGTTCGGGAAGGAGAATGGCAACAAGGGCAAGGAGAGGAGCGATACAGCAAGCCAAAATAGCCACTCCTGAGCACACATCTTATAAATATATCCCGCAGCCCAAGTTACTTTCTGTTCTCTCAACACAGTCCACAAGCTTTACCTGACTCAGGCATTAGGGGAGAGCACTCTTTGTCCAGATAAGGTTGGTCTGGACCCACCCCTCAGATTTATGCTTTGGAATTAAGAGTCAGGACTTTTCCCAGGGTTCTCATCCGACTGAGGAATAAGCATTCGGCATGATGTACACAGCCCTGGCCTGAGAGTTACAAAGACTGGATTGCACCTATGAGCTGGGCAGCCAACCAGTGGCCCCCTGCCTCAAGTACTACTAGATAATGACCCCCAAATGGATACAGGGAATCCTAAGAGACAACAGGATCTGGAGCCCAGACTTCCAATCTGCCTGGATGGCTACAGGATTAGCTCTGTTGCCAGTACCACCCTGGGACGATAGGTTGGAACCATGTGGCAGATGCATACTGCCTTTGATGACACTTAGAAGCAACATCAGAAAAAAAACAAAAACACAGCAACTTCACATAAAAAATAAAACGAGAGCTTGGACCCATATTCTCATCCAGTCCACAGGAAAAATATAATGAGATGCCCAACTACCCACTTAGCATAGCACCAGGAGCAGCTGGCCACTTGCAGCCATAAACTGTTGATGCCACTAGTGATGCCCCTGCAGACACCTAGCAAGAGAGAATAGGAAACTGGGATGCAGGAATTGGGCTCCAAATGTGTGTGTTAAGCAGAACATGTTGTGTTCTTCCATTTGGTGCTAACAAAGTAGAGCCAGGCTACATGCTTCACCTGCAAAGGTCACCCAGTGCCTACTTCCAGAATAATCCTTATGTATCTGTACAAGAGAAGGCAGCGGTCAGGGGGGTGGAGGAGGTAGTGCCAGTATCACTGACCAGGACAGAGCAGGCCAGGCAAGGTGGGTCAAAAGTCAAGACAAAGCTTGCCTTTAAGGCTTTGTTTCTGTGTATTCCGTCTGGATCTATGACTTAGGCAGCTACAGTGACTTAGACCCTTTTCTGGGTGCTGGGAACAGGTAATGCTCTTCCCTGGTCATGGCACCTGCGTTTGGGAAAATGGAGGCAAAGTAATAGAGAAACAAGTAAGAGTAATTCCTCAAGGTTAATGCACACAAGGAACTCAGAAAGGATAGAGGACAGAGGATCTGTGGGAAGGTGGTCAGACAGTATGGAGCGTATATTTAAATAGCGGACAATGAAATGGGGAGTGGCCAGCTATATACAGAGCCAGGAATGGTGTTCCCAGTAGGAAAGGAATCACAACAAAGGAGACAAGGAGAAAATACCTGGCATAGGACCACCGCTACCCATGTGTTCAGGCAGCAGGCAGGGGCCAGTTCTCTGATGTCAAGGTGAAGGCCACAGAGTGGGCCACTGCTGCCCCAGTAGGTGGCCCCAGGCCCTACCTGGACAACTCAGTGGCCAACAGGGAGGGAGAGTTGTACACAGAGGTGTCAAGTGCACAGGAATCTCCAGGTCCTCTCTTTTCACAAGGACACCAGGTATCACTTTCTACTTGCCACTTGGCTATTACCATGGGGACTTTTGTTCTATGGCAGCCAGAGCTGACCAGACTCTTAATCTTGTGATACTACCCTGTCTAGCCAGCTATCTGCTTCAGACCCCTAGTGACCTGGTGTGCCCCTTCCCTGCTGAAAGTCCCAGAAGACAGTAGCATACAGTTTTGCATATTGTTCCTATTTAATAGCCAGTACACTGTGCCTGGCCGAAGCAGACATCATCCTACAACCTGAATGCTACAGATGGGGAGGAAGAGCATGGCTCATGGTTGCATCACTGACTACAACTGCTGACATTTCCCAAGGTGTCCCCATAGAGTTCTGGTCACCCTCCACTAACAAACCACCCCACCTGCAGCTTCCCAGAAAAGTGTACTGGGGGAGTGCAAACAGGAATCCACTTGACAGATAAAGTTGAGTCATGTTGTTAACAAGAACTCATATTAGATTACTCTGTGATTACATGGTTCTGCAATGTGATAAATTGGTTAATAACTGGATTCCCAACGTAGCTGCTTAATGGGAATTCAATAATGGCAATTACCCTGGATTATACTGTTAACCTAGGAAATTTGAGCACCTGGCGTCTATCAACATAACTCAAAACCCTTCTGAGACAGGTGAAATGGCCGTAACCTGGACGTGCTTTCAGTATTCACCAAGCACCTTGGTAAAATTTCTCTTCTATGCCCAACATGCCACGTCTCACAGACTCGACATAAATGTTCTTATTTTCTTGGTTAACTGTCCAAGTAGAAGAACAGATATGTTTATGAGCTTGCTCTTGTTCCCATTATAAAATTAGTGACCAACAGATAAGTAAAAATTAAAGATAGCTGAACTGGATCAGACAGTTTAGGAACCTCTTCCATGGCTTTTT